TATATATATATATATATATATATAATGAACTTTAAAATTGTATTATAACATCCTTATATTCGATTCTGTCAAGTTTTTAACGTTTTGATGGATTGTTTTTATTTCAATTTAATATCAGCAACGACTCAGCTACTCCCTTCTAATTTTGATTTAAATTTTATCAAAATGTGTTTTTTTTTACTATTTAGAAAAGGCCACGTCGAAATCAAAACGAAGGGCCAAAACCATTTCTGAGTTTTTCATATGTAAGCCCTTCATGACATGAAGCAACCTGATGCCAAGGTAATCATAACCATGTCCGCCATGATCAACAAGCAATTAGCATTTAGCAAGCCCATCCAGATCGGTGATCTTATTTCCCATCCATTTTTCCTAAGCCCGCCAACTACTCGGCTACTTTGAAGAAGCACTGGATTTCTTCAAATTTAATCTGAGGTCTAATGCCCAAATATCTTGATTGCATGACAAGTGATCATAATATTTCCATGCTTTTCAGCCCCATAAGATTTCATGCTTGCATTGGACAGGAAAATATGCTCAAAGCTTTCCAATCTGACATCTTTTTTCTGAAATTACGACAGAAGCGCATACATATTGGATTTATGTGAATTATAAAGCTCATAATCCTTGATAGTAATTGAGCCTATTAAACAACCGTACCAAGTACAAATACGACAAACATAGATCTAGATAGATAACTAAGATTTGACTACATTTCACTTCATATTGCTTCTGGTTTCTTTGCGTTCTTGAACGAGTTATTTCTTGCCGATGCCAGAACAGTCTTGTCAGCAACTATGAAGTATGTAGCACCAGCAACTGCAGTAATTTCCATGAGCTGTTAATATGAATAAAGGAAAAAATAGCAACATGACATGGTTGAGACAAACACACTAAATGCTAAAGAGTATATAACCTGATGAGATTATGAGGGCTTGAGCTGTGTGATTGAGGTATGTTCTTGCCCACGGAAGCATCCTAGCACTGGCTAACTGAAAGATGTTATGTTATTTATATTAAACTATGCGGTGAAACAGTAGTCTTGCCATTAAAATGTTTTACTCACTGTGGGTATAGCCGTTGCGACGGTTGCGACCACAGCAGCCTTTGCTCCTGCAATGACCCCATCTGACATTCCCATAGCAAACCAAATAAATTCCGTTAATGCAAATTTATAGTTTTGCTCCTTATGAGCTACACTATACAAAATTTCAAATTGAAAGGCTAAAGATACCGTGAGCGCAGCGCTTTGCCATGGTGAGCTTGCGATCAATGGAAGCCATGATTAGCACTGTTGAAGTATAATAAGTGGGAGATGCAAGAACTATGAGTGTAGTGCAGGTGGTGGATGGGATGGTTGGGAATTTATAAGGGGGAGTTGGGAAATGGAAAGGAAGCAGCTAGTGGTTTTTGGCTGAAGCCTGAGGTATGTTTGCAGTTGCTTGTTTTTATTGGAGTACCTTTTTTTTTGGGTTGGTGGGAACTGGCAGAACTAGTATTTTATTCTATTGAGTTGAGATTTGAAGCCTGAGGTATGTTTGCAGTTGCTTGTTTTTATGGGAGTACCTTTTTTTTTCTTGGGTTGGTGGGAACTGGTAGAACTAGTATTTTATTCTATTGACTTGAGATTCCCATGGATTGAAAGCAGCTAAGAAACCAGCAGCAAATAGTGCCTTTAACGTTCGCCATATGTTTCATGAATTGTGGTATTCTGGTTGAACGTTGGGTCGATTTTTTAACATTATTTGGTGAAGAAATAGTATCCACTATGTCTGAATTTTTTTTCCTAGGATATTTATTTTTCTTAACTGACCAGGCTTCAAAATCATATGATTTATGAAGGTGTTCTTAAGAATTTTTTCTTCTAGGATATATATTTTTCTAATGATGGTTATATAAGAGATAGTTATAATTAACTACAACTTATGTTATGAAGTTTATTTTTGTATGCCGCACAGTACACCCAGTTAAAGAAATATCTTTGCATTTTGTTTTCTTGGAGAAATACATCTAGAAGTTTATTTTGAAAGATGCTATCTTCCATATATTTGTGAAGTACTTATTGAAGTCCATTGCGAGAAACATTTGTTCGATGTGGTTTGAATTTAAACTTTGGTTTGAATTTTATTTGTTTGAAATTAGATTGAAACTTGCTCGAACTTAGTTTGAATTTTTTTTTTTAACTAAGGTTAGAATATGAGTCGAACGTGATTTGATTTGAAACAAGTGTGAACCTTCAGATTTGTGATCCTTTTTCCACTAAAGGCTGCGTAGATTAGTGTGATCCACATCATGCCAAATAACTTTTTTTTTTATTGAGAGGTGAAGCCTAACGAAAGCAAGTTGGAGCAGCAGAAAGGGAATGATAATCTTACCATTCAGCCGAGTGAACCGAGAGAAGCATAGAAAATTAACGAAATATTATTTTTGAAATAAAAGAAAGAGTTACAACTAACGGAGCGAGGATTCCCTCTGTTTTCACCACTCGCATGAAGCTACAAGGTACACCAATATATAGACATAATAGATTGTTCTAGAGATAGTTAGTTAAAGGGTAGAAAGGTAAAAATGCTTAGTTGGTAGTGGAGACCTCCCTGGTATCATTATTATCCCCCCTCAAGCTAATGCGCCTTTAATGCATCAGCTTGTCATGAAGAAGATTAAAGCGAGGGGTAGGTAGAGACTTAGTGAATATATCTGTCGATCGCTCAATAGTAGATATATGACATACGACAAGTTCATTTGACTGAATTTTCTACCGAATAAATGGTAGCCAATTTGCATATGCTTCGTCCTGGCGTGGAAGACTGGATTGTGAGCAATCTCAATGATTGAAGTGTTGTCACAGTAGATAGGTAGGATATGAAATCAGAACTTGGAACTCTTGGAATAGTCGACAGATTCATATGACATCTATGGCTGATGTGGAGAGAGCTCGATATCATACTTTGGTGGATAAGCGAGGGATAGTGGATTATTACTTGACTTTCCAGGATATGAGATTGGGTTCTAAAAAGATACAATGCTCGATGATAGATCAATGATCAGTTGGATCACTGACCCAACTTGAATCGAAGTAATTGTAGAGTGTGAGAGCAACCGGTTGAATAGAAAGCTTGAGATCTATTGTTCCTTAGATCTAGTGAAGAAGTCGTTTAAGTTGTTGGAAATGCGTGCATAGGGGTTGTTGATTATGTTGAGATAGTGTATTTATCGCAAAAAAATATGTCTGGCCTTGTTATGTTAAAATATTGTAGAGCTCCAACCATGTGGCAGTAGAGAGATGGGTTTACAAATCCATTTTGAAGGTCTGTAGAGGTAGTTTTGTGAGAGTTCATAAGATTAGCTAATGGCTTAGAAATGACCATGCTAGCTTTGGTAAGAATGGTGGATGCATAGTGGGCTTGAGTGAGGGATGAGCCGGCGGATGTGTGAATGATTTTGATGCTAAGAAATGTAGAGGGTGACCCCATAATTTTCATTGAGAAGTGAATTTTGAGACTAGCCAGCAGATTTTGAATATGTGTACAGTTGTTACTGGTGATCAAGATGTCATTGATGTATAGTAGTAAGTATGTATGTGTGGATTTATGATTGTAAATGAATAAAGATGGGTTGACTTGGCTTTTATGGAAGCCTAGATGAAGTAGATGGTTAGTGAATTTGGTGAACCATTGACGTGTGGATTGTTTTAGACCATAGATGGACTTTTTAAACTTAAAAAGCTATTTATGGTCATGTATCTCCTCCAAATGGCTTGGTGAACCATTGGGTGCTTCTCGGATCATGTGACTCTTCAATCACTTCTTTCACGAGAGCACCTTATCTCATGACAACGTTGGCTTCATAGCCATTTGACTTCAATTTCTCTCAAACCATATGACATCTTGGTCTATTCTTTCATGATATTATCTCACCTCACGATGTTTCTAGCTTCATAGCTGTTGGCTTAATAGTCATTCAATGACTCTCGAACCATGTGACACCTTAGTCCATTCTTTCATGAGAGCATCTCGCCTCACGACATTTCTAGCATCATAGCTATTGGCTTCATAGCCATTGAATATTGATGCTTTTCGAACCAAATGCTTTCTTAATTTGGTTCTTTTGAGAGCATAATAGATGACTCATATTACATGAGATAAAAAAGTCCTCTTACTTTGTGTACCAAAAAGATTGAATGCAAGTCCCTCAACAACTCACCTCTTTATAGCAGGTATTTGAGGTTTTATGCCTTGACCACCTTTGGGTCATGCTTTGTAGCTACTGAATCCACCTTTTCAGGTTGTATGTAAGTTCTGGGCGCATTCTTTCCTACATTTGTTGGATATAAGCTCCAAGCGCATTACTTCCTACCTTCCAGCTTGGATGTAAGTCTTGTGTGCATTCCTTCCCGGTTCATTCCTATCTCATTCCTGATTGCCCTCTAGGATGAATATAAGTCTCACAACTTTTCTTCTTACTATTTGTAGTCTTCAAAACTCAAGCTCCATGATTAAATCAGTTTGTAGGTTGGATCCGAGTCACTGTGATTCTCTTCCTAAGCAGATCACTTTGACTAGCTCTTACACAAATGTGAGTCCCTCTGTATTCTTACTTGATCTAGTCACCTCCTAGTTTGGATATAAGTCTCCATGCTTTCTTTCCTAGCATATGCAGGGGTCATGCCTCAGGCTCCATACCTTGATCGATTTGTAGATTGAATCTGAGTCCTTGTGATTCCCTTCCTAAGCTGATCACTCTGACTAGTTTTCGAGGGATGCGAGTCTCTTAGCATTTCTACTTGATTTTTTCGCCTCCTAGGTTGGATATAAGTCTCCACGCTTGCCCTCTTAGAATTTTCGGGCCTCGTGTCTCAAACTTTGTGCCTTAATCAGAACTCAGGTTAAGATGTATATCTCGTTGTATTCTCTCCTTATATGATCACTTTGATTAATCTTCAGGTGGATGTAAGTCCCTCAGCAGTACACTTGAGCTAGTCACCTACCCCCCTAGGTTGGATACAAGCCTCTATGCTTTCCTTCCTAGTATTTTTAGGCTTTGTGCCTCAATTAATTCACAAGTTGGGTCTGAACCCCTACTGAGTTTCCCTCCTAAGTATCCCTTCGAATAGTTCTCAAGCGAACATGAGTCCCTTGGCGGTTTGCCTCGAGCTAATCACCATGCCTCTAGGATTGTATATAATTCTCTGAGCTTTCCATCCTAATTTACTTAGGCTTCATGCCTTGATCATTTCGCTGGTGGGATGTAAGTCTCTAAACTTTCTTTCATAAAATGATCACTTTAATTAGCTCCCGGGAAGATATAAGTCCCTTGGAATTTTTTACTCACTTTTTGAGGTGTCTAGCTCAAGTGCACTGCCGAGGGACTTACATCAATTTTGGGCATTGATCAATTAACCTGTATCAGACCAAACCACTGACATGCATTAATTTTATGTCATATTAACTGCTATTTTACCAATATTTTACATCTTAATTTCATTTATTTAACACAAATTTATGCTTGTTAACTGCTATTTTACCAATATTTTACATCTTAATTTTATTTATTTAACACAAATTTATGCTTGTAGAAGGTATTTTCTTTATGTTTTTGCAGGATGCATGAATTAAATATGAACAAGATGAAATGAGAGAATCCTGTAAAAAAGTGTCTCAAAGCGTCGTGACCACGCCTAAAGGTGGCGTGACAATTGACATCATTTTCCTTATGTCACAAGAGTAGGGTGTCCACCTGCATGATCTGAGATGGTCAACAGTATGTCCGTATAATCCAGTTGCCCAAGACACCCACCTAGGACTCTAGCACTTGTTCGTGGAAAAGTGCTATAGTTGGTGACAATTTAGCCTTATCAGGGAAAACCTGCATTCAGAAAGGCTCATTCATGATATGAGACATATTCAATGCTCATTGTGGTGTTTAGAGGTCATCAAAAGCCCGTTGGGAGCCTCTTATGGCCAAAGGAAGTCACAGAGCTTTCTTTACACACGCTACGGGAAAGTTAAGGTTTGGGACACCCTACCCGCCTCATGACCAACTAGGCTTTAATTGACAAGTTTTTCCATGACAAATTTGGCAAGATCTATATAAAAAAATGCTAACAATTAATTAAGACACTTCTAGGACCTTGGAGGCTGGCTTTGTTCTTATTATTTAGGGAGTCATATAAACGCTAGGATTTCTTCGATTGGTTTTCCTTTGGAGAAAATTCCTAGGATTTTTTTTTTGTTGAGAGTTTGGAGAGATTGTGAGGAGAGATTGAGTGCAATTATGTGAGGGAGATTTACAGAAAACTTATATTGAATGAAGAGGAACATATTGTATTGCTAAGATTGATTGACTCAGAT